AACGGAAGTCATACAATATATTTTAAAGTTCCCTTATGACGGAAATCAACATCTTTTCAATCAAGTTTGTCAATTTTTATAGTTCCGATCGGACCTATTTTATTTTTTTCCGTTATTTTCCAAAAAAAAAAAAAAAATTATCTTTAATATGTAGTTATTAGTATTTTCCCCCATGTGATAGTCAATTTAAATTGAAATTTTCAAATGTTTTTATTTACGATAGTTTTTCTTTAGTAAAAAAAAATGTATGACTGACTGAACTTGTATTTTACTACTGACAACAAATTTTCAATGATTTAATGCGTTTCGTCCGACTGAATTCGATTTTTACTACTGACACGTTTGTAACGGAATGTAACACGTTTGACTAATACTGACTCTACTACTTATATACATACATACAGTGTTTTATAAAATACTGTCTGACTAAAATAATTTTTACTACTGGTAACAGTATTTAAAATATTTTGTCTAACTGACACTGACTTTTACTACTGAAATCAAAATTTAACCGATTTCTTTGTACTTTTACTACTTTTGTACTTTTTACTTTTTTTCATTTTGTCTAAGTCTGACTTTTACTACTGATACAACTATTATTAGAATTCAAAACCTGTCTAACTAAAATGATCTTTTACTACTGATAAGTGTTTTAAACAATTTAAAACATTTTGTCTGACTGGAACTGACTATTACTACTTACACATATATTAACAAAATTTAAAAACTTCAGTCTGACTAAAATGGTATTTTACTACTGGCACTTGTAAATTTACTTATATTACTAGTCACTTAAAATTTTAACTATTTTGTTTGAATAAAACTGACATTTACTACTTACAAGAATAATTACTAAAACGTAGCATTAAATATTGTTTAATTGATTTTTATTTTCTACTCAAAATGCTTTTTTCCCATAAAGAAAACGTTTTTTTTTACGAACATGAGAAAAAAAATTGAATTAATAAACAAATTTAGAAATAAATGTGTGACTATTTTTTGAAGAGAGTAAAAAAAATATAACTCTAATGAGAAGGTTTAGCACAATACAAAAGAAGTGAAAGAAATGCAAGAGAAGTCAAGTGGGTCTTGTTTCAAGAATATACAACATTGTTTTCTAAAGTTACCTTTCAGCTTATAGAGTGAAGGGCTTCTTTTTTCTAAAGTCGAAAAAGGCTTCAAGCTATTTGAAAACTTCATCTCGCTCTGTTTCATATTGGAAATTTGAGCTGTATTCCAGTTTATTTTTCAATTATATCATTATTCCCATTAATCGACATATGTTGAAAAAAAAGTCCAGTTGTCTGAAATAATAAAAAATTCTTAATTATAATAATTTGTTAATTATGCTAATAATAATTATTATGATTTTTAAGAATTTTGACCAAAAAAATAGTAAATAAAAAAAAAAAAATTAGTTATAAGAAATGTTTTTTTTATAGACGATAATTACAGTTTTAATTTCAGTGAAATTGGAAAATTTCAAAAAAAAAAAGAATTTCTTCAATCAGACGATGAAATATGCAAGCTATATAGCAAAGACTCCGTCAATTAGCTTCACCGGAAATAAGACTTCTGGCATGACACTTTCGAAACGGAAGAGGGTAATCTCGACGTAGATTACAAATAAATATTAAGCTTTCGAGTCCCTTGACAGTCTAAGGGCGGAAGAGTATACCGGATATTTCGAAATTAATCGCCTTTGGCACTTGGCAACTCTGAATAAAGGGTGATAAGAATATGAAGTTTGTACAAGAATCTATATAATAATCTTTCTCCCAGACAATGTTCAGGCCAATCAAGAGTTAGAAACTTCATAATATTGTTAATAAAAGATTTTCACTTTACAATAAAAATTCAATAAATTATTACATTCTTCATTCTCTCTTATATTTTTCTCAATTTTTTGTTTATTAAATTTATTTAGTTTTGTTTTTTTTTTATTAATATTAGAAAAAAAAAAGATGAAACTATTTTCAATGAATACAAGAAGTTTAAAGAGAATAAAGAAATTTATTTTTGTTGAAGAGAATAAAGAAATGTATGAAAAAAGAGAGAGAGAGAGAGAGAGAGATAGAGCAGGATGAGGAAAACTGTTTCTCCGTACTATAATTCGTTTCTCATCTTGCGGGGAAAAACCTTTTTAGTATTTCTCAAGGATCATGCAATTTTAGAGAGTCGAGGCAAGCTTCTTATATATTTGAAAACGACTTTGTCTTTGGATATATATATATAGAAATTTGTGTATATATTTTTTCGACGTATTTTTTTTTATTTTTTTCACTCGAGGATTGCAAATGTTTTTACGCGTGGTTGTTATGCACTTTTAATATATAAAAGAGATACTCTCGGTTACGCTGCGCAATGAAAGTATTACAGATGAGAAAATGGAGAAGTGGACGAGTGTGCGGAGTAGATATCGTGTAAGTCGAACTTAAATCCCCCTTTCGTCGTTTTCTCTCTCTCTCTCTCTCTCTCTTTCTTTACCCATTGCAAAAAGAAACCTTGAAATGCAACAATATTCTTTCGCATAAGTGAAATTCTTTCTTCATTCTTTTCACACGCAATATCGCTTCAACTCAGAGACTATGTCAGTCGATTATCCGTGATACAGTTATAATAGTTCATTCATCTTAGAATTTGAATCAAGAATAATTTTCGCTTACAAATTTGAATTTTTTTTATTCTATTATTTAAAGCTTATAAAGACTATTTTTTGTTAAGAAAATGATTGATTGACAACGTTTACTAGATATGAATGGAATTTTCATTGGACACATTTATCATTAATATAATAGCAGATTGTAAAAAAAAAATCAATGTGACTGATTTCCGGCAATATATATATATATGAAGGGACTCACCACAAAAGTGATTGGTTGTATATATGAATCGCTTTAATAGGCAGTGGATAATCACGCCATGGATAACCACGTTATCATTATTCAGCCTGTTCATTAGGTTATCATGTTCGGAACGGAGCAGGATTCAATCATGCGGTATCTCATACACCATCTACATATATAACGGAATAATAAAGGGGGAAAGGGGGTGAGGGGAGGGGGCGAAATGGGTGTCGAAGAGAGATGAATTCGTGAAAGTGTATAGATGTGTTAGTTGGCCCTGTAATAGTGCTACCATTCGCAAATCTCTATATAGGCATAGAGTAACACCTTCATTTTCCTAGTTTCGCGCTGTAAAAGTCGCAAGATTGCATAAGGGTTACTTTGCATATATAACTCTCCTTTGTATACATATTTTATAATTTAATATTATAAGAACATCTTTATACTTTGCAAACAAAATTTTAATTCTCCCTTTTGTTGTCTTACTGTAATTATTCATTAATCCGTTTGATGATTAATGAACAAAAAAGATGTTGCTGTATATATTTAAGAAAGGTAGGAAATTTTAATATATAATGCAAATTCATTATAATAGAAATATTGCTTCCATACAAGCACATAAAATTATAATTACAGTTGCAAATATAATAATAATAATAATAATAATAATAAAATAAAATAAAAAATACTATTTCAGGAGTAAATTTGACTATTTCAGGAGTAAATTTGACTATTTCAGGAGTAAATTTTTTTCTATTTCCGAAGCAAAAAGGAGAGAGAGAGAGAGAGAAAGAAGTGATATTGTTGTTGAGGTGAGCTTGCAGATAATGAAAAGAACTCGAAACTATGCGAGTCGCTCTCCTCACCCTTGATTTCATCCCTCTCTCATTTACTCCCTCCCCTTACTTCCTTTTCTGTTTCCTATAGTCTCTTGCACTTACACTTTTTCAATTCTAGTTGGTGAAGAGTCGAGCTTCTTCATGAGCTTGTAGTCTTTTGGTCTCTCGGCCTCTTGTTTTAATCACAGTCTTCACAAAGTAAGCTATTGTCCTCAGAGTATCAGTTCACAAATCTATATATATATATATATAAGTGCATGTAGCAGAATCCAAAAGTTTGTGTGCTTTCTACAAGTTAAGCAAATAGCAAACGAAAGGAAATCTCTGAACAAAACGTATATTTCTTACTTTGTAAAAGGAGCATTTTGCTTTGATTTTTGGTCCTGGTGCCTTGGCATTCTTTGAAGGCTGATTATTAAAAGGAGAGTTTCAGAATTCTTATTTATATATTCTATATAAGAATATGTTTTATTAATTTATTCGAAATGAAAATATTTTCTTATTCTTCTTTTTTTAAATTCATTTAACTTATTCTTTTTATCTTTTAAATAAAGACTATTTCTTTATATTTGAGAAAAGAAGAAAATTTAATAAAATATTATTTCAAAATTTTATTTATTTTCTTTTTCATGCACTTTTATTTAAAAAAAAAATGTTTAAATAGTAGTAAAAGTCTGATTTTGTCAGACAAAAAGTTGTAAACATAATAATTTGATTTAATTGGTAGTAAATTATTACTTTAGTCAAACAAATAAATAATGAACGAAATGTTGTTTATTATTTTTGTGACTTGTATTGTGATTAGTGGTACAGAAATGAAAAATATAAATTCTCAAATCATGTATATATAAAGTTTATTTCTTGAAATCGATTATAATAATATTTCTAGAGAATTTGTAAAGCTAAATATCTCGAGAGGATGGTGCCTCCACTGTGCCATAGATCGAGCAGCCAAATTGATTCAGTTATTAATATCAAATAACCACCAGTCTTGAATGTATTCGATTAGGTTGAAAACTCAAATCCAATAGTTTCCAGTTTGGGCAGTGCAGATGTACTCTCACCGCATATCCAACGAAATGAAATTACAAACCAATATGGCACTACTACGAAAGTGATTTCCAAGTTTTGGAAACCTAGAAATACTCTATATATGAAAAGCCTTTATTTCATTAAGTCATATTTTTGTTAATATTAATCTTTCTTTAAATTAAATTACTAAAATTTGGTTTTTTAAAAAACAGTAGTTTACATATATTATTTAATATTGTGAGAATTATAACTAAATAATGTGTTTTTTTGTCCTTTCTTTTAGATGGAAAAAGAAGAATAAACGTCATGCTGTTCTTAACTGGAAAATTGAGACAGTCGACAATTTCAATTTCATTTTATTTTTACGACAAGAGAAGGGAGAAGTAGAGAACTAGCGCAACAATTACTTGGAGAAAAAGTCGAGAGCTTCTAAAGTGATTTCAGTGACTTACTTTCTGAGAATTAGCATCGTGGTTGCGACACATGATAAGGGCAAGGTTTAAAATGAGAAAAAGAGACTTTCTTCCAAGTGTCACATGCGCAATTGATCCTCCCAATTCTGTAACTCGTTTAGCGCTCGGACGAAAGCTCTATTAGTAGTCAGATAGCAGCAAGCGTCAATGGCTCCCTCGCTGCTACCCGACTACCAATAAAGCGTGCGGCCGAACGCTAAACGAGTTACAGATTTGGGAGGTTCAATTGGGGAAAAAAAGAGAATACGATAGGAAAAAGAAAGAAATACAAAGTGAAATGAGTATTATATTATATCTAATTAAATTTTTGAATATGAAAATTTTAACTAATGATTTTTATGGGAAATTCATGCGCCTTGAAGAAGAAGAAAAGAAAAGGAGAAAAAAAGAAAGAAGAAGAAGAAGAAGAAGAAGAGGTTGGAATGAATGAAGAAGAAGACTCGTGAATTGAAGATGAAAAGAGAGGACAAGTAATTTCCTTCATAGAGGCGTGAGAAGCATACCGAAAGGCACAAACTTGAAAGGAGTGAGAGAGATCGCGTTAGAAGTAGAAGATGCGCCACGAAGTGTGTATATATATACGAGTCCAAGCTAAACTAAATAATATTGATGGCAAACGGAAATTGAAAGCCGTTAAACTCTTCAGCGTTGCGGTTCGAAATGGCTGCTGCATAAATAAGACGACATGAATTAGGATTAGAAACAGTGTTTCCCAACTTAGAATTAAATTCTTCGTTGGGTTATGACCTCCTGTTAAACTAAACCCTGAATACGCACCGGTGATTCCGCAAGTTTCCTCATACTCATAGAATCTCTCTTGAGTATAGCGAAAATTCCATTCCGTTAAGGAGATTGCAAACTGTTTGCTGTCTGAATAGAATTCAATTTCATCGCTTCACCATAAAAGACAAACAGATTATTTTACATTGATATTAAATTCAACAAAAGTCAAAAAATAAAAAAAAATTACCTTCCTCAAATTTAATTCCTTTCTATTTAGTAATTAATTATTATTAAAACAATAAACTTCCTCATTTAAAAAAACTGTTTCAAAATGTTAAAAAAATTACCGACATAGAAATCTACCTTACCGACTGATGGTAAAACAGATTTTTTGAAAAATGATAATATAAAAAATTACCGACATAGAAATCTACCTTACCGACTGATGGTAAAGCAGATTTTTTTAAAAATGATAATATAAAAAATTACCGACATAGAAATCTACCTTACCGACTGATGGTAAAACAGATTTTTTTTTGAAAAATGATAATATAAAAAATTACCGACATAGGAATCTACCTTACCGACTGATGGTAAAACAGATTTTTTTGAAAAATGATAATATAAAAAATTACCGACATAGGAATCTACCTTACCGACTGATGGTAAAACAGATTTTTTGAAAAATGAAAATATAAAAAATTACCGACATAGGAATCTACCTTACCGACTGATGGTAAAACAGATTTTGCAATTTTTATTTTTTCGAAAACTGTTTTACCATCAGTCGGTAAGGTAGATTCCTATGTCGGTAATTTTTTATATTTTCATTTTTCAAAAAATCTGTTTTACCATCAGTCGGTAAGGTAGATTCCTATGTCGGTAATTTTTATATTATCATTTTTCAAAAAAATCTGTTTTACCATCAGTCGGTAAGGTAGATTCCTATGTCGGTAATTTTTTATATTATCATTTTTCAAAAAAAATCTGTTTTACCATCAGTCGGTAAGGTAGATTTCTATGTCGGTAATTTTTTATATTATCATTTTTAAAAAAAATCTGCTTTACCATCAGTCGGTAAGGTAGATTTCTATGTCGGTAATTTTTTATATTATCATTTTTAAAAAAATCTGCTTTACCATCAGTCGGTAAGGTAGATTTCTATGTCGGTAATTTTTTATATTATCATTTTTCAAAAAATCTGTTTTACCATCAGTCGGTAAGGTAGCTTCAAGGATTTAAACGTTTCGAAGTTCAAAGGATTAAAGGTTTTTTTTACATAAAGCATGTAATAGGGATAATAAATAATAAAGACAATTTTTTATACATATATTATCAATAATTTTATTTCCATCCTTCTAATGTTATTATTTACAATTATAATTACAATACACATTAATATCAAATATACAAAATGGCAAATATATCTTCAATACAGTTAGTATAAATAATTAATAATAATTTATCATAATTATTTGCAACAAACGAACTTAAATCAGAGTTTAATGTACTCAATTTATTTCTTTTTCTTTTTAAAAAGTGTTTCTTTGAACAAAATTATGTTTTTTTCTCACACACAAAACTAAAAGCATACGTTTTCAAGAGTGTTTTAAAATTACCGTCTCTATATACATATATTGCATTTTATGTAGAAACATATATGTATATGTGTGTATATAATCTCTTTGAGTTGGAAAATGGGGAAAAGCGAAAACCATCAGTGAAAAGGGACAAAGGAGGGAGCGTGAAATTTTCATAACAAGTGCTCTGTGCGGTGTTAACGATATAATTGTTCAAGGTACACGACGTACGTTTCCATGGAAAGTTGAAACATCAGAAGAGAGAGAGAGAGCTTATAACCACCCCTACCCCAAACCCCTTTCCTCACGACTAACATTTCTGGGGGAAAACACCAACCTATCGCTAGTGGTACACTCACATATTTTAAGCCGGTCATTTTTCAGCATTCGCGCTATATGTCCGTGTCGACTGGTATCAAATTTGCATGAGACAGCGATTCGAGTGCGTTGTTTCATCAAAGTTTCGTTCGAGAAATTGCTTTGAAAAACATACCTATATTTTTCGAAAAACATAAAACCTCCGTATGTTATTTTATTACCACATTATTATTTCTCATTTAAATTTTCTTATTTTTCCTGATTATATTATAATTCATTGTGCCGTACTTCCGAGAATAATTAACGTATATTTCTATTGTTTCCTCTTCTTTTTCAAATTTTTCTCTGTAATTACCTTAAATTAGATATAGAAGAAAAATATTTATATTTTATACCTACGAACAAAAATTTTCATTACACATTAGTTAAAAGAATTACCAACACATTTTGTTTTTAATAAATATAATTATATATATAACAATTTATGCGATAATTATTTTAATAATATTTGTAAATTTGAATTAGAAAAAAATAAGAATGAAAAAAAAATTAAAGTAAAATGAATAAAAAAAAAAAGTGAAAAAAAATCATGACAAAAGTCAATGGAATGACGAAAATAATTTATAATCTTAAGATGTCAAATAGTATATAAATTTTCTCGATGAAAGTCCAATTTCAGTGGGTAATAAAATTTCCACTGAAAATGTTAGCGAAAGGAAAAAAAAATTAAATAGTTAAGGTAATATGTGTGTATTTCTCGTGTATTATAAATTTTGTGCATACGAACATCTATTTACCGAGCAAATCGTTAAAACGCTCTCTCCCTCTTTGGCGCTTGAAACGAGATGAAATTCCAGTGATGTATTTTGCATGTAATTAAATGGTACAATCACATCAGTCTAATAAATTTAACATATTAATTTTCCATTTTTTTTTTATATAAATCCGTTTGTTTTTAACAATGTCTGAAAATCTTATTTTATTTTTAGATTTATTTTAATTTATATTTTAAAATAAAAGTTTTTTTTCAACTTTTTCCATTTCATTTTTAATTTATATATCCGAGTCATGATTTTCTGAAACGATTATATTTTTTTTTTTCCTTTTTCATATGAAAAAGTTTAAGAAACAGAAAAAAGTAATGAGACCGAAAGGAAAGCGATGTTTTCTACAAAAGTTTCACAAAGATAGAGGCGCGCGATTAATAAATAAAAAGGGTCGAATCAGGGGATTGTGAATTAAAAAACGTCACACGGGGATTTAGTGAAAAAAAAGAAGTTTCTTGGAATTTTTCTTTTTTCTCAATCTAACCTCACGTTTTGTCGCCTCTCTCTTTCTCTCTCTCTCTCTCTCTTTTACTATTTCGTTGTTTTTTTTTCTTGAGCCTTTCTTCTGCATTTTCATTTTTATTTTCCCCGGTGTTTTTTTTTTTGCATTCTGAAATTGAAGGGGCTTTTATGAGAACACTCCTCTATAACGCAGCTTTTTATTATTACGCATGCATCACTGAATGAAAGCACGAGATCCGGATTTAAAAAAAAATAACCGGACCTCCATCACATTTTTGCATAATAAAAAAATATTAAAAGAATTCACCGAAGATATCGAATTTTAATGGCTATTGGCAAATTTTTATGAATGAAGACATTTATACATTTTTTATTTACGATTTTATTTTTGTTTGAATTCAATTTACAATTTAGATACTAAATTGATAACAAAAATAAAGTATTTAAATGGAAAAAATAAAGTTTAAAATCATTTTTAATAAATAGAAAAATAAATGTTTTTTTTAATTTAATAAAATTTGCTTCAAATAAATAAAAATTAAAGGGAAATATTAAAACTGTTAGAAGATAAAGAAGAAAGGAGTAAAGTAGTTATTCAAACGGACAGAATTAATGGTTATTCGCCGCACAGTCAGTAATTAGAACTTTTTCACGTTAATGCTAAACTGATTGAGAAACGTGGGATTCAGTGGTAGTCGTTGGAATGGCGGAGTGAATTCGGGAACGACTCGGGAGGAAACGAGATTAGGAAGCTAACTTTGTTTGCTCCGGCCAATCAACAAATCCAAGAATTTCAGTTCACTGTAAAGTCGCTTTCTCTCTCTCCCAAGAGCAGGGACTTGTTGGTGGTGGTGTAGTTACAAGAAAACCAAAGGGGATTTTCAATGGGAAAACGTAGGGCACTAACGTCAAACCAAATCGAAACCCATCGAGCTTCTTATTTACTCTTTCCCGCGCTTTTATTTTAAAATTCCATCAAGTTCGAAATTCAATTAAAATCGACAACAATGGCAAGCAAACGTTATTTCTCTAATTATAATAATTAGTTAAATTCACAAATAAAGTGATAAAAGAAAATTTTAAACAATTCGAAATAATTAAAATTTTCAATTCACGATTGTGTTTTTTTTTTATTTCAAAATATTAGGAATTTTTTTTTGTTTCTCGCGATATAGAATAATCTGAGAATTCTTGAAAGACTGAATGCAATCTAACAAGAAAAAAAAAGACATCGCAATATTCTTTTCTATATATTCTAAACATCTGAAGAATATCAAACGCACTCTTTTGCGACGTTGATGTTTTCTGATTCAAGAGTTTTCTCTAGCGGAAAAGCATGTACTAATCAAAGAGAGACACGGCATGTATCAGATGCATGTATACCGCCTATCTCGAAAACAATAGCAACGCATCAGACATTGGAATTGCAAAATACAAGATCGACGGCTCTTTTTCATCCTTCAAATTTTTTTTTCCTCCCTTTTTTTTCTCTAGTTCCACACTCTCTCTCTTTCTCATCGTCATATATAGTATATTTTACATCTCTTTTGCTCTTGGTGCTTTTTTTAAAATCTTTTTTAGAGACACAATCGCTCTACCTGGTTGGATGCCTTACTTTTCTAGTGTCTGAATTTGTTTCATACTCTTTATGTGGCTTGAAGAGAAAAAAAGAACTCTATATACTCACAGAAGGGCCTCGAGCACCGGAAATACTTTGGACCGATCGACGGATGTCTGCTGGTTACAGCATCCACGATTTTCTCCTCATCGTTTCTTACTGATTGCCTTTATTGTCAAGCTTTTTCAATTTCTTTTATATAGATATAAACACTATTTTTCTATAATTTATTTTTTATTTCTACAGTTTTATAAAAAATTTATTAAAAATTTAAATTACTATTTTGTTATTCAATAATTTTTTTCCTATACATGACGTGTCTCTCTTTTATTAGTACATGCTTTTAGAGAGAGAGAGAGGTAGAATTGTGACTTCAAGATTAAGGAAAGGAAATTATTCTTAAATATTGTTATAATTATTAAATTAAAGTTGGAATTTAATATTAAATATTATTAATTTAATATTATTTACCGAGTGATAAATTCCTTTCCTTTAATTAATAATAATAATTATTATTGTTAGAATGCTTACAACCGTGTTTAATATTGATGTAGAAATTTTTTTCAAGGTCTTTTGACGGTTGAAGTTGTTTTTATTTAA